AGGTATTTAGCTACATCGACGTTAGCTAGTAAACTGAGTTTAAATAATATTTATGTGTATTTTATACGACCTCTTTCATATAAACTAAACCACTAAACCGATAGACCATTATTATTCTGATAAATGATGTAATTTTTGGTGTTTTTTGTTTGTGATCATTTTAATAAGAAACTGGACATTATATTTACAAAAATTCGAATTAATGTAAATTTCCTATTGCATACCTATGATCGTATCTTGCATAGATATACTAACATCCAATAAGGAGGCGAGTTTCACAGTAGGCAAATGTAAATGTAATATTAAAAGCTTAGCTAATTGTATAGACTAGACAATGCCTTGTATTCACCGTTATGCTGATTATCTTGGTATCCACCAATCTCCTACTGACTATAATTCTACACAATTTTACACTACTTATAGTCTAAAACCTATATAAGTACATATATGTGGAATATTTTTTTAAGTTTTTTTAAATAAATTATATCAAGGACGTCAATAAATCGCCCAAATAAATACTTTACAAAATTATTTATGCATTTTTATGAATAAACAATCAAGTCTTTTGATTAAATAGTCAGTCATTGTTAAACGATTCCACTCGAGAAACATCCAGATATATTTTGCAAGTACATATAAAAAAATGCTGTTATAATATAATACTAATTTACAATAGCAATTTCAAAGTATCCTTCCTCTATTTTGTCTCTAGTTCATTTAGTCTATACTAAACTAATTGTAGCATGGGACTGTGAACAAATTGGTTTTTCAAACGAAAGACCCTGAATTATTAATCTCCCGTAAGTAAACTTTAATATCAAAAAGATTCTACAACGAAAAAAGTCCACTTTACGAAACTCAATTAATTGTAATTTACTTCAATTCGCTTTGTATGTGAAAATAACAAAGCGTCTGTAATTTGTTGTAATCAGCGTTCGAATTGGGAATTTAATCAAAGAGAATCAGTGATTGTACGGACCAATCGAGTATACCACTTTGGAACATATAGTATATATGTTCCAAAGCTTCGCAGTAAATCGGTCCGAATTTATCCCTATCAACATTTTTGGAAACCCTTTCAAAGGAATTTCAAGTATCTTGAGTTGTTGATTAGGGTTGAGAAAACGTTTGAAACAACATTTTTTGTGTGCCCAACAGTAGATTTTTACCTTTAGAATGAAATTTACTAGTTACACGTAAATACGATTCGCGTTCAATAATGTGCTTGTTTCACCCTTGGTTTTGGCACATTATCTATAGAAAAAAAATATGAAATAGCGACAATTTATACTTAATTTTTAAGTTGGTTTCGCCATTTTTCAGTTCAAACTAGATTAAAGGTAACCTATTGATTAGTGAAGGGCTTATTATTTAAGTCATAGTGTGGGTCCCTTTCAAACGGTGATGAGTATTCGGCACCACATGTGTTGATGGGCAATCGGTGATTTGCTATACAGCAGTTCCTTTACTTGTATACTACAGGATATAGTTAAGGTAATTTTGGCCTGTAATATATATCTTTTATTCCATATGTATATAGATATGAAAATGAATGGTCATATTTGTTGGTTGGGTAGGTATAACTCAACAAAACCTGCACCCATTTCGCCAATTCAGTTTCTATTATGTTTTTTAATGCCAGGAGAACATTATTATAAAACAAAAATTTGGAAAGGTAGAGGTGAAGTTTAGAAAATTGCGTACCTTTGTTCGTTAGAGAGTTATTCGGATACCGAAGTAAGTTGTGCGAAGCAAGGGCGAGTCGCGAGTGATTTACAAAAACGGATTTGAGCATCCAATACAATTATATGGCAATACAAATAAATGGCAATGAAACATAGATTAAAAATAACTATAGTACCTACATACATAGATATATCTTGCAATGATACATACCTTGTAATTAACACATTGCTTGTTTTAGTTACCTACACGTGACAATAATTTTAAATTATATTACAGACGCAAAATTTCACTCTGCTTTTCCATAATTACCGTCCTTTGTAAATGATAATGCAATTGTTTTTAAAATATCTTCATCACTAGTTTATTACGAAGTGTCAAGCGCACCCAGTTTAATGTTACCGAAATTTAATTATGTGCAAAAATTTAAACCTGTGCCAACATGAATATTGTTTCATTTGGATATTGATACTGTACGTGATAGTCGTCAATTATATTTATTATCTCTTGTTCATTATTTATTATTGTAAAATCAAATAAATAATACTTTAAGGTTTATTTATTTGCGTTTGTGGAATATAATAGAGTCATACAATTGATACCTGAATGAAATATTATGTATGTTTTGTTTTTGATAATGTATTTTATATCAGAACACCGGCTTAATTATAAGAAAGTTGTATGTTACCTGAGTGTTGTATTAGCTTCATTTAACTTGATTTACACATTCAAATTATTTTTAGATGTTGTCGTCTTATTAAGAATTATTGAAGGTTTTTTGTCTGTAGTAATTGATTGTTAAATTATTACACTAACTTGTTTCATCGATCCTTTGTAATTTGTCTTTGTACCTACTTCTAGACAAACGAATCCGAAAAATCTCAAATTGTGTAATAGATAATTAACTAATTGCCTGTTTTGTTGTCGCTACAACCAAATCGCCTTTGTTAGTCCAACCACGATTTTGGAACTTAATTAATAGTACTAATATAAGATAAAAAAACTATCCGATGACGTCATGAGATTTGAAATATCTTCAAGCTAGATTTGTTCATTGGCAACACAGGATCACACGTCAGAACCATCTAGTGTCTGTAAGTTCCACAGATTATTACTATTGATCTCATTTAAGTGTGATATTTAGTTGCAACCCCCTTTTTTTGAGGAGGAAAAGTTTCATATGACTTCTCCCTTCCGGAGCTGGCGAGAGGGAGCGTCGGATTCTTACTAACTGACTCCACTCCGTCCCTTCAATAGGTTAAACAACCTCAGCAGGGTACTCCCAAAACATGACATAAAAAATTCCGTACAATGAAATAAAACTGAAGAAAACAATACTGTTAAATAAATTAAACTTTATTTGGACTCATCAATTACTACTTCAGTTGATTGCAACCGTAACCGTATCGCCAACCGAGTATTAATTGTCACCAATATCGGGACAATTTAATTGGTTTTTAATGTTGCCATAAAGTGGACGCTCTCTAAATTGTCAGTAAGTAAAGCACTAATAGTGTTTTAATAGCCCCTATACTTTAAGGATAAATGCCAATGTCGGGCACAATACCAATTTTTAAAGGAAATATTATTAGTTCATTTTTGTTTTGGACGTTGTATCATTTTTATATTTTATATAATTAAATTCGAATAACGCTATAACATAATATAATGGCAAGTACCAATGTGACTTTTTCTGAGTTATATGTACTCTCTATGATTATTTAGACATTACTGACATACGGTGAAGGTAAACATCGTGAGGAAACCTGGACTTATAATTTCTAATTATAAGTTTGAAATCGCCAACCCGCAATGAGCAAGCGTGGTGATTAACGCTCTAACCTTCTCCGTATGAGAAGAGGCCTTTGCTCAGCAGTGGGCACTTATAGGCTGATGATGATAGTGATCATTTTTATTTAAAAAAAATCTTTTTTCCTTTTCAATGGCTTAGTTTTGTTTTTGTTAAAGTTGCATAAATTGATTTTGTGCACGACTGAAATGTTAAAAAAGATTGACCATGTCATCAACACATTGTGTACAGTTTTGTAGTGTCAAAGCATGGTAAAATACCATGCATTTTAAGTTATATTTTTTTATGTTACTGCTGTTGTATATTTTTGCAGAAGTAACTACAACCGTTTTTCAAAGTCAACTAACACGAGATTTAAACAACATAATTAAAGTAGTACAGTCTCCTCATGTAGCAAAACTCATCACAGCACGTCAAAAACTTTCGTCACTGAATTTTTATAGCACTTGACCCGCCTGATTGCTATCTCCAGTTAAATGTTAAAATGTTTAAAAATTCAGCGGCATCATTATTTTCTCGGTCGAGAAGCCTCACCGCGGGTATATTATTAATTATTAAAGTACCTCTCTCTCTCCCTTGAGCCTTGATTTTAAAAGAGACGTTAACGACTTAAAAACAAAAACCGACTCTGTTTATTTTGAAAGCAACACAGAATAAAACAACAAGTTGTAAAGACGAGACTTCTTTTACAATTTACAGGTGAAAGGGCTTCAGAAATGGGTTGAACAAGCCAGGTTTAACTTTGATAGATATCTATTTGCACAGAATAAGGCTACGACAATGTATTTTTATATATAATAAAGGAAATATATTTTGTAATTCGTAAAATAAATAATGTAAGACTAAAATATAATAGAAAACAAATACATGGGCAAAATTAATTTAGTCTCCACCGAGCAACTCAATTCCGTGAACACACATAGGTATGAAAATTACCACTAAATTTTGGGTGAAAATAAATAAACAGGCGTACACACCTTGCCAATTTGATTGTTGAATTATTCATGATGTCTCACACGGCGTGGGTGCCGAGGGCCAAGGGGATACAGGAGTACTCTCTAAACATCTCGTATCGTTGCTCGGGGGGAACATAACGAAATGGGCAACCGAGACACCGCCTCATTTAAGGGCACAAATAAAAAAATATCTGAACTTATTACCGTGGCTTGGAAGGCACCAAAAGTGTCATTATGATTAAGTGAGCACGGAAATAAGGGGGAGCAGGTAGCTATGAGCTGAATAACTTGGGAGGTTCATATTATTAAAATTATGTAAGGCTTGCTAATTTTCGTGCTCTATTTTTATCTACTTTGTTCAAATTAAACAATTCTATCAACTATTTAATTGAATCATAAAGCAAATAACACAACCTCTTTAACTTTCCATACCAAGTGCGTTGACTAGACGTCAAAAAATAAAACAATATATCCTCGTTTTGACAGTTGGCGTCAACTTGCGTAATGTTGAACAAAATAAATTACCTGCATATTATAAATAAATCTATACAATGGCGTCGGTACATAAGTTGTTGCCGACCGCTGCTGACTTTTACGCAGAGTTACAAGCTAGATCAAATGCAGCAGAAAACCATCGCCATAAGAAATTTGCAGCTGTGATGATCTTGATTAAATTTACTCGCGGTTGGCTAGTTCGTAGATACTTGGCGTGGTTAGCAAATAATGCTAGGACCATCCAATGTGCTTTTCGCAAGTTTGTGGCTATGAAGGCAAGACGTGCAGCGCTTAGAAGAGCCGTGCGTAACAAACATGACAAATATTACGCTCACGCTGCTACAATCATACAGGTATCTATTGTACTGAGTACTGAGTCTGTTAAATGTCTATTATTATTATACAAATATAAAAATAATACTAAACACAAAATAGGTGCAAACTAAACTCAGGTTTTAAGTTGTATTACTTTTTGTAGGCGTTGTGGCGTGGACACTACTCAAGACGCACAAAGTTCTGCTATCGAAAATATCGCAGCTGGTTGGCTACTGTGAAAGAACGCGGAGAAAGGCGAGCGGCTGAAGCTGCAGAATTCGGCATTAGAAGTCGAGCAGATGATCTCAGGATCTTAGAAGAGGAGGCTCGCACGTGGCTTGCTTTCGTTGTCTTCAAATTACATCATTTACTTAGAACATACGTCTGTGCCGGGGTGTATTCAGATCATGCAACATCAGAACTATCAGAATTCGAAAAACTATTAAAATCTATTCACTACACGGAATATATGAAGAGATTGAAGCGGAAATATGATGAGTTTGTAAGAAAACACCGACCGACATTTTCGAATAAGAGGTTGTTTCCGATTATAGGGGATGGGGCCGAGTATTGGTATTTATCGTTGGCCGAAATGTATGAACTGACTAAACCGACACCGAAACGGGAGGATAACAGGCATCGGGCGATGCATCATGGTCGGATACATAAAGAACCTTTTTTGTGGAGGAGACCTAGACCAGCCGGACCAATGGAAGACCGCGGACCGTTTACACCAACAAAGTGTATGATGAAGTCTCCTCCACCTCCAGCGCCGACACCTATTCGAGCTGGAGGAGATGAAGAAAAGCGAGCCGTGCCGAAGGACCCCAGGTTCCATCTCTATGTCAAACATTATACTCCAGATCCCGCTTTGTTTGATTACGTCGACTTTTACATTAACGCCCTGCTACAACGCCAGTGTTCCATCGAGAACATCGATAATAACAAGCAATGAGATGATATTACGAAATTGGATAAAATATTCATATTTTTTTACATTAACAACACAAGAGTGGTTTGTTTGAAAACACTTGGGTTTTAACATGGTTGCGTATTATTTCTCCCTTTAATTTTTTTGCTCGGAAATCCGTAATCAGGCTGCTAAGTTTGGAAGGGTCGTCCGGATGTTGCGAGCCGCGAGCCTTTTGTTGTTACGCTTTTGTTGTTGTGAATTTTACACTTGTAATTTATTTCAGGAAACGCCTTGGTGAGAAAGAAATTACGTTAAACTCTCCAAGGAAAATGTGTTTTGTAAATTAACATTACGCTTGTATAGGTTTTGGTTGGATATTTTTTATTTGCTGCCTTAAATCATGTTTTAATATTCGTGTTCCAACACGAAAACGTAAATCAACGGAATTGGTTGAGTTTAGACAAAATTTGCTTGTTTGAGTATTTGGTTGGGGTACGATTAGTACAATTTTTTTTTCAATTTTGAATTTAGTTAGTTTGAATCTTAAAAGTATTTCTGGATTTATCTAAGCACATAACTTAACAAGAAATGCTTATTCAGAAGCATTTGTCGCGTGTAGAGATATCGAGAACCTTGCAGACTGCCGCCCACAAGGTTTTAAAACTTCCACTACGTCCACTACACCCATGCATCACATATACACAGACAAAAATAAATAGTTCATAATAGCTTGAAAATGCCATTATTATTGTATTTTTATCTTGTAGTCATATCACATTATGTAAAAGAAAATAGGTGTGTGCTAGCATATTCATACGCTTCGATTCTGCTTACACAAGGCGGTACGCGATGAATCGAAATCGATGACATTCTCACAATATTTTGCCGTAGAAAAGCTTATTTTATTCTCACATTCAAATACTTGGACGTGCTCATACTGGGAAAAGATGAAGGTAATGTAGTTGTGTCATGTACGTTGTACGCGTTTGTTTGTGCTTCAGTGTATTATGTCTGAAGTATCTTTACTGTGCGTCTCAAGCTCATTTGTCTAACAATGCCCGTTTGACTCGGCAAATTTATTAGGGTCAGAATAATGCAGGTTGGTTTCTGAACCAACTCCTTATTGCACAGCCCGACTTAAGGCGGGTACCCATTTGTTAGACGTATAATGGTTGACCCACTTTACTTATGTGCCACGAAGCTGCCAGTATAGGGTGTGATTTGCGTCGCGGTACCACAGACAATTACTCGTACCCTATCATTTATTTAACAATAGACTCTATTGAGAAGGTCCTAAACTCAATATGCTGTGCATTCATTTGAAAATTCAAGGTCAAATGAGGCAGCGTGACGTGGTATAGGTTCATTTTGCTTTCAGTTGAGAACTTTACGTCAACTGTAACTGTCAGTCGCTCGCTCTGAGGGTGTGTGGGGTATGAATAATGTATGGGGTAAATTTGCAAGTGTTTCAATTTACACCCGCCGACACTCCACGCCGTTGATACGCACCCGAGAAGTTGAAGAGCAAAAAAGAAAACAACGAGTCGCGGCACGCGTTACATGGGGACTAGACGCCTGAGCCGAGCACAACCACTGAACTAGATATTTTCAAATATGACTGAAGTGCGAAACTGATTTACTCTTTTATCCACACCTTCATTAAAATTACGCAGTCTCATTCCACTATTTTGTTCATTTTTATATTTTATATTGACTTGTAAATTTTGTTGTAAGAATATTCTGTTAGTAACATTATTGAAACATTAATAATACACCCTGCACAGTGTAACTTCATTAGTAATCCGTCTATCTGTCTACGTAACATCTATAAAATAATTAAACAGTTAGATACGTACCCGGTAGGCCTTCATTGTATATAAATTAAATTTCCATTATTACGAACCGAAATAAATTACGTATTTACGAAACTTGTTCGATCGTAATTTTCTTTATTGATTTTGTTCCCGCCGCAAACGAGTATGTCGGGTTTTCAATTTTCTAAGCAACTTTTCAACATTGTTCAGCTTTGTAATCGTTAAATTGGTACATTTAAATAAATTGGCTTTTTGTATGAAAAGCTTAAAGGAGTATTCAATTTATTTTTATTGAGTTAACATTGAAATTTGTAATTGACTGGAGATAATTGAGAAGTAAGTTTAGATTAGGTATTTTTACTACTTAGGCACAATTACAGAACATGATGGTACTGAGGGAAAATTTTAATGGGAGTTTCTTTAGTTATATAAAAACCCAGTTTAGTATGAGTCGGTCTAGTGCCCGAATCCTAAGTAAGGGGTATTACCAAACAAATCTTATTGGCATGTTCATAACAATATATTATATTTAACTTGGCAAGCATACATTTAATAATATAAATTTTTCATTTGTATGTTAATCTACCTGAAATATTTTCAAATCCGTGTTACTATTGAGAACTCTGAAATTAAAATCTTCGATAATACAATAAACCTATCGCCCAAAAAAAAAATACCTTCAATATATCATTCATTAATTCTTCTGATGATTATCAAATTATACAATTAAACTTTACATCAGTTATATATACATATGAATGAGGGGTCTTGACGTTCAAAAGTGCTTATTGTGATCTATTTGAAATAAATGATTTGACTCTGGGTATAAAGAGCGTGTTTTAAGTTTTTTTTATTGTACTATGAATTTATTAGACTATAAATATAATATAGATATTTATTGATTTTTCCTGTTTCACAAAGTATTGAATATTTTAAACAAAACGTTATAACCTACCAACCTTTTTAAAGAAAAGTCTGTGACCTCTGATCTTTCCATTCGACCTTTGATGGCATTATTCAGACCTTTCGATTTTTATCGAATTCATTAATTTTTTTTTAAATATCCGTATATTAGTAAAAACCGTTCTTTAACTAAACAAGAAACAAGCTTGGGTAGCTTGCTAGATGGACTTTATGTCTATGTAAATAAGAGGGAATTTAGCATTAGCTGTACCTTTTGGGAGACGATTTTGAGGTTGCAGCTTAGAAGATCTTTAGTTAGTTCTTACTAGACCAACGATAAAAGTAGCAGGTGGCAACAAATACCCAATCATTATCATACAGATTCAGCGTTTGGAATTCACTTATTAGTAGGTGATTACTAAGATTTATTAAAGTACTGCTAAGTAAAAGTAAAAAAGTTATATAAGTAGGTATTAATAAAAGAAGACAGATTGATTCAACTCACCAGTAGTGTTTAGTTACGCACATAATTGCAAACCTTTTTCGTGGCGGACAAAGGGGCTTCTAGGACTGCATTCTTGCGATTCTTAGACGGTACCACAAGCAATTCCCGGGTGAACTTGCGAATCGATATCGGCGAGTTGAGTAGGTTCGTGATCTGTATGAAAAATGCGGAAGAAACTGTGGTACGCAGTAATTAGTGGCGCACGGTACGCGGGGGCGCGCTGGGGCGCCGCTTGTACGGACACCACGTAATCCTTTATCAAATAGGGATCTATTTTATTGAATAATATAAAGACATTGTTTGTAGATTGGTATAATTTATGAAGTAACTTAGATTATTACATTACTTAGAATGGAGGTATACGTATTCCTAATGGTATTTAGAATGATATTTATATAATTACTTCGAGTTATATTTCTGGTTATCTTTAGAGTTTTATAAGATACTTTGATCACAAATTACACATAGTAGAATATCCTAGAGTGGGGAAAACGGTTTGGAATTACATAATTTGGCTAAGATGTTTGATACAAAATTTACATGTAGATATTTCTAAACGATTGAGTGACTTTGAAGACAACATCCCTTTTACAAATGTGTGTCTGGACTGAACCTTAATCGCTATATTATTATGTGAGATTCATCTGCTCATTTCCAATAAGAAAATATTATCTATAGATATTGAATTGTATCAAAAAATGTGATAAATATAAAAAACGTACTTTATGCTACTCGTAATCACATTTTTTGATAAGCAAGATTTCTTATCCCAACTTTACTCACAACATGGTCACCCCACTATACGTGAATCGTACACGCCTTTCATGTCCGTAGGTGTTGCAATAATGTTGAATGAAAGAAAATTGCTAACCTCGTTACAGAGTGCCGGGGCGTAGAGCCTTGTCAGACGTGTGGTTACCGGCAGACTGTTTTGTGTAAACTGTTTTTATGCTAAATAATAAGGCCCGAGTGCCCTTAAACCACGCTATTTGCAGCAACTATAAAGTTAGCATTATAATTTTAAATTCTACACGAGTACGTACTGGCGGTTTACGTCTGAGTTAAAAAAAACCTTATAAAACTTTACACGATTAAAAATAATTTATCTTATTATTTTTTTCAAATTTTCAAAAATCAATTATTCATTACAAAATTAGCTAACCACATATTCAGTATGAAGTTAGTAGACAAATCAAACAAGAACGGATCGGATAACAGCACTTCAAATAACCATCAAGCTTTTAATTGAAAAATACCTGTAACAGAATACGAAATAACGATTTCGATGAATGCTTCACACTAAAAGCTCGGTACTAAACGCGAGGGTATTCAATTTAGTGAAAATTTTAGTTCAGTTTCAGTATTTTATCGGGGGCTATGAGTGTGGAGTAGTATTACAAGCGTAATATTGCTTGGTACAGGCGACCGCTTCGCTTATGAAATCGCTTAAGCGACCCCACCGCTGCGCAAACTTTACTACCATCGGACTTATCAACTATCGAATTTTCCGGTCACTCCACAAAGCAGTGTATTGTTTTTACTTTTTCAAGATTTGCTTCATTGTGAAACAGGTAGTAATACGGCTTAAAATACGCTGTTAACCGGCTTACGTTGAACGTGTTATTGTTTATTGCATTGATTGAAAATTCCATTAAAATATTGGCTTGGGTGTAAATTTTTGAAAACATTCAACAAACACGGTTACTCCACTGTTACGATGGAGAAATTAGCGCTTGTTTTAGACAAAGCGGCATCATAAAATGAAAGTTGATAATTAGGTTGAGTGCATTGAGGTACTAACTGGAACATAAGCCACCGAA